TTTATTCAAGACAGCATTGAAATATTTACACATGTATGTTATTACAAAAAGATTTGATAACTACAAATTAAGAAAGATAAATGTAAGTGTTTTGGCATTTAAGTTTTATATTTTTTTAATAAAGTGAAGTGTGTAGTATTTTTTACATATGTACAGTATATATATATGTGATATTTATAATTTTATATCTGATATATAGAAGGTAAAAAATTCTAGCTGATTTAATAAATCGCATAGCAAGTAAAAGAGTGTTTTCTAATCTAGTACAACTAATACTTTTTTTTTACCTTTTTTTATCTTTTATCTAAAATAGTTTATACATATATACCTGTAATTTTGAATAATTTGATTATTACTAGTATATTGTAATTTTGTATATTATGTTAACATGTTTGTTTTTTGCTAAATAAAGTATATTTGTTAATCTGTTTATATCTCTGCTATGTTAAAACCTTGAGAATAATGCTATGTTGTATAATCATATTTTAAAAATATTTGCATAATTCTACAATTTATATAAAATTTATATAACTAATAAAGAATAATAAGCATTGTATTAGAATATTAAAATCTATTTTCTGTATCTTGCTTAAATAAGTAATTAAAATATATGTTTTGTAACCTGTGACTATATACTATTATGAACCAAGTTTTGAGCCAATTGGCATAAAATAGAAAAATACACTAAATACTCTGAAAAACTAGAATTTTAAATTAAAAAAACAAAATATATACTAAGGAAGTATATATCAAGATTAGACAGGCCAAAAGCATCTAGAGCCAGATTAGAGATGAACTTTTTGAGTTGTTAATTAGAAGCAAAAAACAGACCAGTTAGAGAATTATAAAAAAAAAAAAGTTTAAATATAAATATTGAAGTAGAAAATGAACCTTATAAAGGCATAGTAATTACTAAATTATACTACAAGTAGAATCTTCAAAAACTACACTAGAGGTCTTACCCGGGGTCAGAAAATACCGACCCGGGCGGATTAGGTATTAACTCAAGTTATAACCCAAGTCAATGAATCAGATGAAAATTCATAAAGTTTTTGAAGTTAATCCTTAAAAGTCGATATAACGACTCTTAATTAGAGCTGCAGTATAGAGAATAGCCTTTACTCCAAATATTTAAACTAGAGTTTTCAATTTTTGTATTAAAAATTTTTTATGATTTGAGTTCATTTATTTTCTACTTCGGGAAATACATGACCTCTAAGAAGCTGATCAAACTATCTGGTAAGAACTTTATTATTTAGTAAATTATAATGCCTTCTACCCATATAGTTATATTAGTAAATTGCGTAATATAGTATTTTAGTAGATTTTGCATATTTTAAATTCTGACTCGTTTGACCCGAGTTATAGCAATTTTTGACTCATGACCCATACAGGTTATTCAACCCAGGTAATAACTCTAGACTACACAAGACTAAGCTAGCCAGAATAAAATATAGAAAGCTTTAGTAGATTTTTTTATATTTAAGCGATCCTGCCTTTATTTATATGAGCTGTTATATAGTTCATATACACAAATGTAATAAATTTTTACAACTTGTAGCTCTAACTCAATGAAAACTCACTAGGTAAAAACCTAATATGACTTGCTATAACAACTATTAGTCTTACTCAAGATCCAAAACTTACTTCAGATTTTGATCATTAAAACGATACCCCCTTGATTATTGACAGGCTGTCGTATACTGTATTAGGATCTCTTTTTTCTCTTCTAATTCTTCCTTCTTCTCAAGAGGCATGAAACAAAGGGGAAAATTTTTTAAAAGAAAAAAACGAAAATGACCAAAAAAAGAAAAAACAGAAAAAAAAAAAGAAACACTAATTGCGAAAAAGAAAAAACATAAAAAGAAATCTAAAACCCTGAAGGCACTATTATAACCTGTGCGTAGCTGATAAAAATTATATAACAAATACAATATTTGTATATCTCTACTATAAAGCTTCGCCTTAATGTTAAAATTTACTTTCTGACCTTCTCACCAACTCTGGTTAGCTCTGTTGCCTGTCCTAATTTGTATTTCGAGCCAGGTGCTGCCGTTGACTGAGGACCCATGTCTCAAGCCACTGCTGCCGTAATTAGAGTTCCCAAACCAAGTCCCGTAAAGTAGTACCATATTCATCTATAAACAAACATGTAGTTGCATTTCGCTTATCTGTCTGGATTTGGGAAGTAAACAATGCTAATCTTTTGGAGAGGTAAGCTAAATCCCTACTTTTTGTGCAAAATTTTGAAAGACCGACAAAAAAGCAAATAGAAGAAAGAAAGTGACCACCTGGCCAAATAAAAGAGTATGGCTTAAAGAAAAGAAAACACTTGTTGTTTCTTTTGTGTTCCTTGTTTCAAAGTAACAGCCTAAATGCTTTGTTAACAGAGAAGACTCCAGTCTCTCCACCAAGATTTTGTATCCAAAAGCGCACACCTCCTGCCAGTTATCTTGTATACTAATACTCTTGGCTTGCATGCCAAATGCATAGCTTATAAAGAAGTTTTGAAAGAGAAAAACCGTTAACCTCTAGACAAACCACACATTAGGTCACAACTCTTCAACAAAGATTTTGTTTTTCTTCGGTAGGAAATTCTGATCTAGATAATTGTTGGGAAGAGTTATTGTTAGGAAGTGCTTTTAAAAAAGCTTTGGTAGATTTATTTTGAAGATACTTGTATATTTACTTAATAAAATAATACAAGCTAGTAATTAATTAATATAAACCCAGAATAAGACACAGGTGTTTTAAAGCAAAGCTTCAAATTTCAGAGCAACTAGCAAATAAGTTAATAGGAAAGTGCTATAAAAATAATTATCCCTTAAACTGTAAAGCGGGCAAATTTGCCTGCTTAAATTATTTTTAACAAGTTTTTTAAAATTTTTTCAAAATTTATTTAAGCTTTACCTCTCTATTTATTTAGTAAAAATTAAAAATATCTGTTTTATAATAGGGATTGGAATCATTTAACCATTTAAAAATTGCTCTATAGTTCCGGGCAGAATTATATTTGCTGTGGGTCAGAATTATTTTAATACCGGCCAAACTAAATGGTTAAACAGTTAAACAACTAAACAATTAAGAAAAATTTTAGGCAGTTCCAATTCCTATTTTATAAATAATAGATTTAAATTTTATTGTTTTATCTTTAATTTTAACAAAGATGTTATATTTTTAATAAACCTAATTTTTTAATTTTACTATTAAAATTTTAAAAAGTCTCTTAAATTTTTATATGTTTTTAAAGAAAAAAATGGTTAGTTACTACTAAGTAAAGTTTAAATTTTGCTTAATAATTTATAAAAAATATAATAATAAAAGTTATTCAATTTTAAATTCTCTACAACTTTTTATTAAGATAATAGAGGTTAAATCTTAAATTTTTATTAAGTAAAATTAAAAAAAAATTTTTTTTTAAAATTAAATTTTTTTTTAAAAATTATAAAGTTTTCTTTTATATGTAACTTCAAATTTTTTATAAATATTAAAGAGATAAAAATAACTTTTAGATAGTATATAATTATAATTATTATTTAAAAAAAATTTTATTCAAATATTTTTATTTTTAATAAAAGTAGATCAGATATGAATTTATAAAATTTTAGCAGACAAATTTGCCTGCTTAACTGTATAGTTTAAGGGATAATCACTTTCTAATTAACTATATCAACAAAATATATAAACGTAATCTTGCATAAGATATTACAGCCTATAATATTGTGCAAGAATTACGCTCTAGATATAATATTGTGCAATTTATTACGGAATATTGTACAATTTATTATGGAATATTATACAATTTATTACGGAATATTGCGCAATTTATAATTTCAAAAGGGTGTTTATTTTTGGTGCAGAGTGTACCACGTGCAGGTCACATAAAAGCCAATAAACTAATCAAGTTTAAAACATACAAACATACTAAGTATATATAGATATAAAATTTTTAGGTTTATTTAATAATTAAATTAAACAAATTATACATATACAATTAAAAAAAACTAGCCCTATTAAATTATTAACTATATACATTATTACATTATCTGGATTTAGAAATTATGTTTTGTAATAACAACCCTCATATTCCATTTAATAAAATAATTACCACTTTTATAAATAAAATTTAATCTATCTGAAGTAATCATTGTTATTCAATTTCTCGAAATCTATACTCATTTATCCAACACCATAATGCCGATATGCTATTTCTTTAACAGCATATTTTTTTGATAAGACGTTATAGTTTTTCAACTATATTTGACTTTCTTCAACAAAAAATTGACCTGATTTAGCATTAGGGTTGGCCTGATTTAGAATTAGTGTTGTTTAGAATTATGTGTCGGAAAATATCTTGTCTAAGAAATGAATTGTCAAAAAAATATAATGTCAAACATATATATCATATCAGAAAAATGTGCTGTAGATGAAATAGCACGTCAGCATTATGGTGCTAGATAAATGAGTTGACAGGCAAATAACTTTCAGGAAATCATGATAGTTTATCTGATAAATCACTATCAAAATTAGTTAAATATCTGATCAATCTTAAGTTAGTTCTACCAAGCCAGGTGTTAGGATCACCAATAGCATGTTTTAGTTGTTTAGAAAAACTGGCAAAAGGTGCTTCATAGCATAATTGGGATCTAAAAAAAAAAAAAAAATTTAAAAAATTAAAAAATGGAATGGCAGGTAATGCAAAATGAAAAATCAACTTTACAAATTAAAAATTTTACTTCCGAGTGTTGTTTCTAAAAAGAGCCTAACCAAAAGAGTAAGGTAGAAGCACTCATAGAGAACCTATAAAGTTCAATGTTTTCAAGCTAATAATGATAGTTTGCTCATTTAATAACATTTTCTAAATCTTTTGACTCATTCTTACCTGTAATTGATGAAATCTGTATAATTGTGACTTCAAGTGAAATCCTTTAATACGATCATCGACATCCTTGTTTTACTTTTTTATCCTTATATTGTTTTCAGGAGTATTTGTTTTTGTCATGCATATCAAGTGTCTAAAGCTTACTTATCTAAATTTATCTACTAAAGTATCAAGCCGGATGAAACTTTAGGTGCCTGATATTACAACTTTGGGCATAACATTATAACTGATTATAGATTAAAGGAATCATTTGCTTATATCTTTATGTGGGTTTTCTAATTCTACCTGTTCATCTTGTGTTGCCTTCAAAGAATAGCTCTTCATGTTCTATTTAACCAGCTACGAAATCTGTTATCACTATTCTGAATGTTACCTAATTCATTAGATGAAATCCACATAATAATGTTTTCACAAGCTGTGACTTAAAAGCTAGAATTTTTTAATATGATCTAACTACACTTATTTATCCATATATTGTGTTCGGATATATATTTTTTTTGTTATAACTGTAGTTGCAACTTTAGGTGCCTAATATTTACTTACCTAAATTCTTACAACGATACCTAGATCTAATTTCAATCAAATACAAGTTCTAACATCTGATGTTGCAATATTAGACATAGTGCTATTACCGATCTTCAATTAAAAGGAATTATCTGCTTACATTTTCATAATATGTGGCTTTACTTGTTATCTTGTATCGTCTTTAGAGAGTTACGCTTTCATATTCCATTTAACCAGCTGCTAAAAATCCATCACCACTCTTCTGAATATTATTTAATACATTAGAAGAATTCATATAATTATGTTGTAACTTAAAGCTGAAATTCTTTAATACAATACGATCATCGACATCCTTATTCTACTTGCTTATTTCTATATTATTTTCAAAGATATTTGTATTTGTTGTGCCTGTAAATTGTAACATTAAGCACTTAAAGTTTACTTACCAAAATTTATCTACTAATATATTCAACTTCAAGTGTCTAATGTTGCGACATCAGGCATAATACTAACACCCGATTTTTGATAAAAGAAATCATTCGTTCACATGTGGTTTTACTTGTTGTCTTTAGAAGGTCGCACTTTTATATTTCTTTTAATTTCACTCTTGAATATTACTTAATCTATTAGAAATAACTAATTTTTTGATTAAAAGGAATCTATTTGTGACTATATTCTTATTCACTTATCTATCTTGTACTATCTTGGCTTCAGGCTGAAATTCTTTAATACAATTACCAACAGCCTTATTTTTTTTTGGCCACTTTATGCTCGACACCAAGTAAGCTATGTGTTATATGGTTGCACCTTCAAAAGGTTAAAATACTAAGCATCTTACTCTAAATATTTTGACTATAATGACTAATAAAATTACATAAAAGCTTATCATAAACATGTCAATAATAAATTCTCCATGCACAAAGCTTGAATAAAAAAAATTAAAAAAAACCAGGATTAGTTGCACACAGATTAGCTAAAAGCAAATAATAACAGCAAATCTGAGAATTAAGTAACAGTGAAACCATACTACTGGTAAAGATGAAAAAAAACTAAAGCTAAAGAAAATAGGCATTAGTTATGTATGTATAATATAATTAAACACAACAACAGTTACAAAAAAAACTGTATTACGCACCAAATATATTTTATTATTTCGAAATATTTTGAAGTTTTTAACAAAATGCGAAAGTTTTTGTATTTTCAAAACAAATAAATCTAAATTTAATATTGGAAAAATAAATTTAAAACCAGATTACGTACGTACATGATTTTGGTGGTAAGTCCGGGTTATGGGACAGTTAATATAAAAAAGCCGTAATATTACATAAGTTATTTCGAAATATTTTGAAATATCTTAACGTAATATTTCATAATTTGATATTTCGCAATATTTCGAAATTTCTTACGTAATATTACAGCTTTTTTACATTTTGTAAATTATTACGAAATATTATAGTCTTATAAATTTGCTAATGTAGTAAATTACTATTAAGTTAAAATTAGCCAAAACCTAGTTATAATCTTTATAAAAGATATTTAGAGTCTTTTTAAATCTAGCTAATTTAATTTTGTATAGTTGCTAAAGCTTTTACTTATAGCAGTATTGTATATGGGATGCATCTACACTATGTCCAACATCCAATCTTCAAAATTGTCCAAAATTGTCCAAGCTTATGTCCCATGTTTAAATAATCAATAAAGTAATTTAAAAAATTATATAATTATATATTTTTTTAGATACTAAATTCATTTATGAAAAAATTAATATAGATTATTTTAATAAAATTTTGAGTAATTTTAATTTGAAAAAATATTCAAAATTGTTCTATGTACAATACTAACTTATAGTATAATATATATTAGCAAAATATATATATATATATTTGTTATTAAGGGGATCTCTTTGGCTTAGGGAATGTTTTATTAGAATGTAAACAGAGTTTTATAATGTAGTTACAATGATAGTATATCAAGCCACATATGTATCTTTTAAGTGTCTAATTTAAGTAGTCTGCTCAAAGGTTCTATACTATCTGCTATACCTGCACTCCAACTAGGGAGATACCTATTTAAACCATCTGGTTCCAACTACCTCCATCATAACTCTAACTCAAGGGTATTACTCACCATATGGTAGTAGGTTTTGCATTTACCCTATTGGAATTTGCTAATTTAAACTAATCTATCCTTGAGATGAACCTAACAGAGCAGTATATGTTTCACACATATATTCACTTGCATGTTCTGTAACGGCTTCCTAATTAGTACATATTTGACCTGCTGTTCTGTATTTGTATCTCACGCCACCTTTTGAGTGCTGCCGTTTTACTAATATTTCTTAAGCACCAACCTTCCTAATTAGGTGCTTATTATATACTCCTTGCCTTTATCTGGTTCACAACAACCCCGATACCTCCATTCAGACCGTCTTCTTACCTGGATTCTTTATCAGTTCCTCTCTTACTTCCAGCCGGCAATCTAGAAGGGTTGGTCTGCCTAGGTTTTAGGTATCTAAAGGATGCTCTCCGCTTGGTTCATACTTTCAGAGCATATAACCTTTTCCTCCAGTGTGACAACCTGGCGGTTCGGCTAGTGTGTTCTCCACCATAAGACCTGGTCGCTCGGTTCTCCGATCTCAGGCCCCAGTTCGAATTCAGCTCTCCTGTGATATTGTTAAAAATCACTGCTACCTCCAGATTCAGGTCTTCCCAAATAGGTTTTTAGTTATGCCGGTTTCTTGGGTTTATTGCGCTAAAGCTCTCATTACTAGATGGTGTAACTGAAGTTATAGATTAGTTCTAGATCCAACTGATAAGCATAGCTGTTAACCGAATACAAGAAACACAGGCCTATTTTTCAAATATCGTCGCTAGTGGGATTTGAACTCTAGACCTGGCACTTGGAGAAGGTGATGACTAAACCACTACACTAAGTCACTACACCTCTTATATTAGCAAAATATATAAATATAATTCTATATAAGTTATTATAAACTGAAAACTTGCACAATAATTATAGAATATTACAAAATATATATAGTCAACTCTCTCTTATCCGAACAACTCATTTTTTAGATTTTTAGTTCAGTTCTTAAAGAGATATTATAAGCTTATTTGAACTTATAATAAAATTTATAAATGTTTTAGATTTTTGGTTTAGTTAAGAGAAAGTTGACTATATGTAATAAATTATACAATATTACACAAATTAAATTACAATAATTCAAAATAAATTGCAAATATATGCAATAAACTAATATAAATAGTGATAAAAATAACAAAACTTTTATATTAATTATATTAAAACAAAAAAATTGCACTATTTTAATTTTATTTAAAATTAATTGATAATTCGCTACTCAACAGAAGAATAATCATAGTATAATATAATGCAGTTTACTATGTAAATCTAATATAGCCCAAATATGAAAAATTTCTAATATTTTTCTAAAAAAAACTTTTTTGTACTAAGTTAATTAACTTTGTTATTTAATTAAAAGTTGTAGAGCTTGTCTTTGCAGTTTTAATAGTAGTTAAATTATTTAAATCAGCTTTGTAGATGCCAAGATATCTTTAAAAATTTTCTTTAACTATATAAACTTCTATGTAATTGTTTTAAAGAAGTTTATATAGTTAAAGAAAAGTTTTTAAAAGATATTCTGGTATTCACTAGGTCGATTTAGAGATTTAACTACCAATAGAATTACAAAGATGAGTTCTACAACTTTCAATTAAGTAACAAAGTTAATTAACTTAGTAAAAAAAGTTTTTTTTAGAAAAATATTAGAAATTTTTCATATTCAAGCTATATTGGATTTACATAGTAAACCATGTCACATTACACTATGATTATTCTTCTGTTAAGTGGTGGATCATTAATTAATTAAATATAATAGAATTATTTTGAAATTTTTTGAAATTTTTTAAAATAATTCACAATAATTTGAATTAATTTACAAAATACTAAATTTATTAAACTAAATATAATTTATTCAAATAATAAAATTAATATTTTATAATAATTTTATTATTTTATTTTATTTAAAATATTATATATAAAAAAATATATAAGAGGACTAATTTACTAACTCTTTCTAACAATCACTTGTACCAAATTTAACTAAAACAAAAATCTATTTTTCTCTTAATTTTATTAACTAAAGTTATCTTTTCTAAATAATAAAACTTGTTCTTAAGACCAAATTACATATAGCTCTTAATTTTTACAAACCTTTGGATTGTTTTTTAATTAAATATATAATATTTGCTCTAAATAGATACACTGCTTTCTAACTCAAATTTGGCTAAGAAAACCTGCTTTTTTTTAGAGACAGGGCTTTCCAGCTTTTTACAGCTCCATTTTAATAACATAAAAAATATTGAAAACAGACCAAATTTGACTAAATTATAGTCAAAACTCTCCAAATACTTCTCTTTAAAAATTTTTTAAAAAATTTTTTTTTTTTTTTTTTTTCTTCTTACTCTCATCTAATTTTGGACCTAAACACGTTTTGAAATAATTAAAATTAGTGATTCCTTCAATTAATAATTCTTTGAAACAATTTCCTTTTTAATTTCTAATTAATTTATACAAATAAATAATTACAAATCTGTAATTATACAAATCTGTACAAGCTTACTACCAAATTTATTCTAGTTATACAAGCTATCTTTTGTACTACAAGCCACACTAGCTATACTAGCCACACCAGCCATAGCCATACTAGCCACAAAAGTTATACAGATAGTGCAATATTACATGAAACAAATTTTACCATATTATGAAGCTCTCTTTACTCTTTTTAATACTCTTGCTATATTAATTTACCAAA